CAGTCATCACCATGGCCATCCAGTGCCTCCCCTGTGGAGGACACCGAGCATGAATGCACAATGTGACACTCCTCCCACTCTGCCTGTTCCTGTTGTTCATCCACACACTCATTCCCCATAGCTGTGTCTCCCCTTTCTTCCAAACTTGCTCCTTCCAGGTTCTCATCAACCGGTCAAACAGCCCCACCCACAACTCCATAGATATTCTTATTTCAGGTCTCTTCTGCCTCTACATGAAGCAGACAAGCAAGCTAACCGAGCAGAGTTGTACCCACAGGGAGAATTTCTTCTCCACGCTGTCCTCTAGGGCCACCCTGAGCATGTTGTAGTGTAGCTTCAGTCTGTCTTCAGGTTCCATCAACACTGAACCAGCTCATCTAAGCACCAGACATAAGATTTTCCTTCTTTTGTCAGGTGGGGTGGGAAGTCCCATGCTGTCCTCCTGGAATCCCACCCACGTCTGGCCAGTTGGGTCGACTGTAACTCAGACTTCAGACTGACTTCACTTGTCACCCAGTTTACACAGCAAGGAGATCTTGATGGCAGCTGGGGTAGCTGACATCCATGTCAGCTCAGACTCCTAGGCAGTTATTCAATCCTCCCAAAAGTTCCTAATCCTTACACAGTATGGAGCCAAGTTCCTAAAGATGCTCATTGGTTCACAGTGTTAGACTTAATGCCTAATGAAGGATGTTTTCTTGTGTGGACCTTTATACCTGGACTCCCAGTGTATTTTTGCTTTTGAATGAACTGATCCAGACATTCATGCTGCCTCTTAAGTTAACTGAACTGTCCTTTTTCAAGGTTTTAGAAACGGTCCCCATCTCTTTGGCAATGCATTGGCAAAAGAGTTAAAGGAACTACCGTTAACTAATGGGCCCCTTTTGTAATATGTGATGACCTATTAATTTCCAGCCCTTCTAGGGAAGTCTCTGACAGGAACACAATCCAGCCCCTTAATTTTCTGGAAAAACAAGGGCATCAGGTATCCCCAGCAAGGCCCAGATCTCTGTACAGAAGGCTAAGTATTTGGGGTATGTGCCCATTCCTGGGACAGGACTTTGACTCAGGAGTTAAAAGAGGCCATCCTGGCACTCCAGTCCCCTCAGACTAAGAAACAGGCCTTTAGGGGAATGGCTGGATTCTACTGGGTTTGGGCTCATAGCAGAACTACTTTATGAAGCTCTGAAAGGACGTGATCATGAGCCTTTAAATTGGGATGGAACCTGCAACAGGTATTCCTAACATTAGAAGAAAAGCTGGTAACAGCTCCTACTTTGGGACTCCCAAACATAGAAAAACTTTTCACCCTTTAGGCTGGGTGCGGTGACTCACACTTGTAATTGCAGCACTTTGGGAGGCTGAGGCGGGCGAATCACGAGGTCAGGAGATTGAGACCATCCTGGCGAACATGGTGAAACCCCGTCTCTAATAAAAATACAAAAAATTAGCCGGGCGAGGTGGTGGGCGCCTGTAGTCCCAGCTACTCAGGAGGCTGAGGCAGGAGAATGGCGTGAACCCAGGAGGCAGAGCTTGCAGTGAGCCATGATCACACCACTGCACTCCAGCCTGGGCGACAGAGCGAGACTCCGTCTCAAAAAAAAGAAAAACTTTTCACCCTTTAGATGAACTTTCAGATGCTGTACAGCTCCATCCTTTCATCTTGGCTAAAAAACAAAGGGTAGCTTTGGGCATCCTAAACCAGGGGCTCAGGAATGACCCTATACCAGTGGTTTACTTTTCTAAACTAGACCAGGTGGTGGCTGGGTGGCCAGGAGACTTGTGAGCTGTAGCCGCCACCACTATATTGACAGAAGCCAGTAAGTTTACCTTGGGACAACCATTAGATGTCATGATCCCCCCACCAAGTAGAGGGGGTCCTAGAGACAAAGGGACACCAATGGCTAACAGAGAGCTGGTTACTTAAATGCAGGCCCTTCTGCTTGACACCCCAGATGTTACCCTTAAAGCATGTTGAGTTTTAAACTCTGCTCCCTTGTTGCTGGACTTCATGTCCCAGGAAAGAGATCCCCAACTCATTCACTCCTGTGTGGAAACCATAGAACAGACCTGCTCTAGCAGACCTGACCTCAAAGATGAGCCCCTGAGCCCCCTGCATACCCCTGATGTAGAGTGGCCCAGAGATGGAAGTGGTTTTATTCATAAGGGAGAAAGACAGACCGGTTATGCAGTAGTTAGCCAACAAGAAGGCATTGAGGCCAAAGCTTGACCTCCCCAGACATCTGCTCAAAAAGTGGAATGAATTGGTCTAATCAGGGTCCTCCGACTGAGAAAAGATTCAAGAGTCAACATATTTACCGATTCCAAATATGGATGCCTGGTGCTCCATACTCATGACGCCGTATGGAAAGAAAAGGGACCTCTAACAGCTAAGGAATCCCCCATACAGCATTGCTCTGAGATCCTGGAATTTTAGATGCTGTCCAGCTCCCAAAGGAGGTGGCCGTTACTCACTGCAGAGGACACCAAAAGGGGGACACCTCTATTATCCCAGAGGAAATGCTCTAATGGACAGAACAGCCAAGGCCACAGGTAAAGAACACCAGCGCTCCAGGCCATGGACTAATGCGGGTACTGCACCCACGCCAGCAGCACCTACTATACTCCAGGCCACGGACTAATGCGGGTACTGCACCCACGCCAGCAGCACCTACTATACTCCTGAGGAAAGTAAATGGGCAGAACAGATGGGCTTACAAGGCCGGGTGTGGTGGCTCCCACTTGTAATCCCAGCACTTTGGGAGGCTGAGGTGGGTGGATCACGAGTTCAGGAGTTCGAGACCAGCCTAGTAAACACAGTAAAACCCCATCTCTACTAAAAATAGAAAGAAAAAAAAAATTAGCCGGGTGTGGTGGTGCATGCCTGTAATCCTGGCTACTCGAGGGACTGAGGGAGGAGAATCATTTAAACCTGGGAGGCGGAGGTTGCAGTGAGCTGAGATCGCACCGGGAGGGTTCACGCCATTCTCCTGCCTCAGCCTCTTGAGTTGCTGGGACCACAGGTGCCCGCCACCACACCCAGCTAATTGTATTTTTAGTAGAGATCGGGTTTCACCATGTTAGCCAGGATGGTGTTGATCTGACCTCATGATCTGTCCACCTCGGCCTCCCAAAGTGCTGGGATTATAGGCGTGAGCCACTGCGCCCGGCCAGAAGTGTCCAAATTCTTAAAGAGATCATTCCAAAGTTTGGATTACCAATAAATCTTCAGAGTAATAATGCACTGTCCTTTACAGCTAAAGTGGTCCAGCGGGTTTCCTCAGCATTAGGCATTACCTATCACCTTCACTCCTCCTGGAAGCCTCAGTCCTCAGGTAAGGTGGAAAAGCCAATCATGTTTTGTTGTTGTTGTTGTTGTTGTTGTTGTTTGTTTGAGATGGAGTCTCACTCTGTCGCCCAGACTGGAGTGCAGTGGTGCAATCTTGGCTCACTGCAACCTCCGCCTCCCGGGTTCAAGCAATTCTCCTGCCTCAGCCTCCCGAGTAGCTGGGATTACGGGCATGTGCCACCACGCCAGTCAATCATGTTTTTTTATTTTTTTTTATTTTTTTTTATTTTTTTTTTTTGTTTGAGATGGAGTCTCACTCTGTCGCCCAGACTGGAGTGCAGTGGTGCAATCTTGGCTCACTGCAACCTCCGCCTCCCGGGTTCAAGCAATTCTCCTGCCTCAGCCTCCCGAGTAGCTGGGATTACGGGCATGTGCCACCACGCCAGTCAATCATGTTTTTAAAAGAATATTAGCAAAACTCCATCAGGAGACCTCAGAGGCCAAGGTTTCTCTCCTACCCATAGCTCTTTTACACACGAGGATAGCTCCAAAGGGAATCTTAAAGCTTAGCCCGGTTGAAATGACTTACGGGAGGCCCCTTTTCACTTCAGACCTCCTATTTGATGAAGAGATGATTGAACGCTCATCCATTGGTGTGGCTGGGTTCTGTGTCCCCACCCAAATCTCATGTTGGGTTGTGGTCCCCATCGTTGGAGCAGGGGTCTGGTGGGAGGTGATTGAATCGTGGCAGCAGACTTCCCCTTCCTATTCTCCTGACAGAGTTCTCGCAAGATCTGGCTGTTTGAAAAAGTATGCAGCACTTCCCCCTTCACTCTGTCTCTCCTGTTGGCCATCTGAAGATTTGCCTGCTTCCCCTTCACCTTCCATGATTGTGAATTTCCTGAGGCCTCCCCAGAAGCAGAAGCCTGTACATCCCACAGAACCATGAACCAATTAAGCCTCTTCTTTTTTGTTTTCTTTCTTTTTCTTTTCTTTTCTTTTCTTTTTTCTTTTCTTTTTTTTGGGGGGGATGAAGTTTCGCCCTTGTTGCCCAGGCTGGAGTGCAATGACACGATCTCGGCTCACTGCAACCTCCGCCTCCCGGGTTCAAGTGATTCTCCTGCCTCAGCCTCCTAAGTAACTGGGATTACAGGCATGTTCCACCACGCCTGGCTAATTTTGTATTTTTAGTAGAGGCGGGGTTTCTCCATGATGGTCAGGCTGGTCTCAAACTCCCAACCTCAGGTGATCTGCCCACCTCGGCCTCCCAAAGTGCTGGGATTACATGAGCCACTGCACCCAGCCTGCCTCTTTTCTTTATAAATTACCCAGTCCCAGGTAATTATTTGTAGCAGTGTGAGAATGGACTAATACAGAAAATTGGTAGCAGAGAAGTGGGGCATTGCTATAAAGGTACCTGCAAATGTGGAAGCAACTTTGGAACTGGGTAACAGGCAGAGGTTGGAACAGTTCGGAGAGCTCAGAAGACAGGAAGATGTGGGAAAGTTTGGAGCTTCATAGAGACTTACTTGTTAAACTGTTGTGACCAGAATGCTGATAGTGATATGGGCAATAAAGTCCAGACTAAGGAGGTCTCAGATGGAGATAAGGAACTTATTTGGAACTGGAGCAAAGATCACTCTTGCTATTCCTTAGCAGAGACTGGTGGCATTGTGCCCCTGCTCTACAGATCTGTGAAACTTTGGACTTGAGAGAGATGATTGTATCTGGCAGAAGAAATTTCTAAGCAGCAAAACATTCAAGACTTGGCTTGGCTGCTTCTAACAGTGTATGCTCATATGCAGGAACAAAGGGATTATCTGAAACTGAAATTTATATTCAAAAAAGAAGCAGAGTGGGGGAGAGGCCAAGATGGCCGAGTAGAAACAGCTCCGGTCTGCTGCTCCCACAGTGACAAACGTGATTTCTGCATTTCCAGCTGAGGTTCCCAGATTCTCTCATTGAGACTGACTAGGTGGTGGGTGCGGCCCACGGAGAGCAAGGAAAAGCAGGACACGGAGACCGTTCACCCAGGAGCTGCATGGGGCAAAGGGATCGCCCTCCCCCAGCCGAGCGGGCAGTGAGAGGTTGCGCTACCCGCCCAGAGAACTACGCTTTCCCCAGGGATTTTTGCAATCAGCAGATCAGGAGATTCGCTCCTGTTCCCACACCACCAGGACCCTGGGTTCCGACCATAAAGCTGTGCAGGCGACGGCAGCCGTAAGGGTGAGCGGCCGCTCAGGCGGGCACTGAGCTACAGGAGTGTGTGCATATTTCAGCGGCTCTCGGAACTCCAGCGAGGCAGGAGACCCATCCACTCCCATGGCAAGGGGGCTACAGCCAGGGAGCCAGGCGGCCTCACTCAGCAGGCCCCCCTCCTATGGAACCCCGCAAGCTAAGGCCCACTGGCTTGGAATCCCCACCGGCCAGCACAGCAGCCTGGGGTCTGCCTGAAATGACTGAGTTTTTTGGGCACGGCGGGCGCGGGTGGAGGGTCGACTGCCATTACTGTGGCTCTAGTCGGCAGTTTTCCCGGGCCAGTGCCAGGGAAACTGTGAGGTTGGGACTAGGCGGAATTCCCCGCAGCGCAGCATAGCACAGCAGCTGTGGCAGATCATGGCCAGACTACCGCTTTAGCTGGGAACCAGATCCATCCATTCTCACCGGGCAGTGCCTCCCTGCAGGAGTTCCAGCAACTCCAGCCAGGGGTTTACAGACAGAACTTTCATCTCCCTGGGTCAGAGCACCTGGGGAGAGTGGTGGCCGCAGTCTCAGGTTGGGCAGACTTAATCTTTCCTGCCTATTGGCTCCCAAGAGTCCTGGTGACCGGGAGGAGGGGGGATTCCCCCTAGCACAGCGCACCCGCACTGGTAAGGGGCAGCCAGACTGCTTCCTTAAGCAGATCCCTGATCCCATGCCTCCTGACTGGGTGAGATCTCCCAACAGGAGTCACCAGGCACTTCATAAAGGAGAGCTCCGGCTGGCATCAGGTCAGTGCCCCTCTGAGACAAAGCTTCCAAAGGAAGGGACAGGAAGCAATCTTTACTGTTCTGCAGCCTTCACTGGCGAAACCCAGGCAAACAGGGTATGGAGTGGACCCCCAGCAAATTGCAGCAGACCTGCAGAAGGGAGGCCTGACTGTTAAAAGAAACACAGCCAGGCGCAGTGGCTCACTCCTGTAATCCCAGCACTTTGGGAGGCTGAGGCGGGCAGATCACAAGGTCAGGAGTTCGAGACCAGCCTGGCCAATATGGTGAAACCCTGTCTTTACTAAAAATACAAAAATTATCCAGGTGTGGTGGTGGGTGCCTGTAGTTCCAGCTACTTGGGAGGCTGCAGGAGAATCGCTTGAACCCGGGAGGCGGAGGTTGCAGTCAGTGAGCCAAGATTTTGCCACTGCACTCCAGTCTGGGCGACAGAGCGAGACTCCATCTCAAAAAAAAAAGAAGAAAGAAAAGAAAAACAAACAAACAGAAAGCAGCAACAACAACAACATCAACAAAAAAGACCCCACAAAAACTCCATCTAAAGGTCAACAGCCTCAAAGATGAAAGGTAGATAAATCCACGAAGATGAGGAAAAACCAACGCAAAAACGCTGAAAATTCTGAAAGCCAGAATACCTCTTCTCCTCCAAATGATCAGAACACCTCTCCAGCAAGGACACAGGACTGGGCTGAAGCTGAGACAGATGAACTGACAGAAGTAGGCTTCAGAAAGTGGGTAATAATACACTTCACTGAGCTAAAGGATTATGTTTTAACCCAACACGAAGAAGCTAAGAACCGTGATAAAACATTATCGATGGTGTTAACTAGAATAACCAGTTTAGACAGAAACATAAATGACCTGATGGAGCTGAAAAATACAGCATGAGAACTTCATGATGCAAACACAAGCATCAATAGCCAAATCAACCAAATGAAAGAAAGAATATCAAAGCTTGAAGACTATCTTGCTGAAATAAGGCAGGCAGACAAGATTAGAGAAAAAATAATGAAAAGGAATGAACAAAACCTCTGAGAACTATCGGACTATATAAAAAGACTGAACCTACAACTGATTGGAATACCTGAAAGAGATGGTGAGAATGGAGCCAAGTTGGAAAACACACTTTAGGGTATCATCCAGGAGAACTTCCCCAATCTACCAGGACAGGCCAACATTCAAATCCAGGAAATCCAGAGAACCCCAATAAGATACTCCATGAGAAGGTCAACCCTAAGGCACACAATCATCAGATTCTCTAAGGTTAAAATGAAGGAAAAATGTTAAGGGCAGCCAGAAAGAAAGGCCAGGTCACCTACAAAGGGAAGCCCATCAGACTAACAGTGAACCTCTCAGTGGAAACCCTACAAGCCAGAAGAGATTGGGGGCCAATATTCAAATTCCTTTTTTTTTTTCTTTTTTTTTTTTTTTTTTTTTTTGAGACGAAGTCTTGCTCTGTCATCAGGCTGGAGTACAGTGGCGCAATCTCAGTTCACTGCAACCTCTGCCTCCTGGGTCGAAGCGATTCCCCTGCCTCAGCCTTCCAAGTAGCTGGGATTACAGGCACACGTCACCACGCCCAGATGGTTTTTTGTATTTTAGTAGGGATGGGGTTTCACCATGTTGGCCAAGATGGTCTTGATCTCCTGACCTTGTTATCTGCCCGCCTTGGCCTCCCAAAGTGCTGTGAGCCACCGTGACTGGCCAATATTCAACATTTTAAAAGAATTTTCAGGCCAGGGGCAGTAGCTCACACCTGTAATCCCAGCACTTTGGGAGGCTGAGGTGGGCAGATCACAAGGTCAGGAGTTCAAGAACAGCATGGCCAACATGGTGAAACCCCGTCTCTTCTAAAAATACAAAAATTAGCTGGGCAGGGTGGTGCGTGCCTGGAATCCCAGCTACCTGGGAGGCTGAGGCAGGAGAATTGGTTGAACCAGGACTCCGGAAGCGGAGGCTGCAGTGAGCTGAGATGACACCACTGCACTCCAGCCTGGGCTACAGAGCGAGACTCTATCTCAAAAAAAAAAAAAAAAAGAAAAGAAAAGAAAGAATTTCCAACTCAGAAATTCAAATCCAGTCAAACTAAGTTTCATAGATGAAGGAGAAATAAAATCCTTTTCAGACAATCAAATGCTGAGGGATTTCACCACCACCAGGCCTGCCTTGCAAGAGCTCCTGAAGGAAGCACTGAGCATGGAAAAGAAAACCTGTTAGCAGCCACCATAAAAACACGCTGAAGTACACAGACCAATGACCCTATGAAGCAACTACATTAACAAGTCTGCAAAAGTAACCAGCCAGCATCATGATGACGGGATCAAATTCACACATACCAATATTAACCTTAAATGTAAATGGGCTAAATGCCCCAATTGAAAGACACAGAATGGCAAGCTAGATAAACGACAAGATCCATCAGTGTGCTGTATTCAGGAGTCACAACTCATATGCAAAGACACACATAGGCTAGCAATAAAGGGATGGAGGAATATTTACCAAGCAAATGGAAAGCAGAAAAAAGCAGAAGTTGGCAATCCTAGTTTCTGACAAAATAGACTTTGAAACAACACAGGTCAAAAAAGACAAAGAAGGGCATTACATAACGGTAAAGGGTTCAATTCAACAAGAAGATCTAACTATTCTAAATATATATGCACCCAATACAGGAGCACCCAGATTCATAAAACACGTTTTTTTGTTTGTTTGTTTGTTTGTGGGTTTTTTTTCTTTTTTTCTTTTTCTTTTTTGAGACAGAGGCTTGCTCTGTCACCCAGGCTGGAGTGCAATGGTGCAATCTTGGCTCACTGCAACCTCTGCCTCCTGGTTCAAGCAATTCTCCTGCCTCAGCCTCCCAAGTAGCTGGGACTACAGTGCGCACCACCACACCCAGCTAATTTTTATATGTTTAGTAGAGATGGGGTTTCACCATGTTGGCCAGGATGGTCTCAATCTCTTGACTTCCTGATCCACCTGCCTTGGCCTCCCAAAGTGCTGGGATTACAGATGTGAGCCACCACACCCGGCAATACATTCTTAAAGACCTACAAATAGACTTAGACACTCACACAATAATAGTAGAATGCTTTAATACCCCACTGTCAATATTAGACAGATCATCAAGACAGAAAATTAACAAAGATATTCAGGACTTGAACTCAGCTCTGAATCAAGTGGACCTGGTAGATACCTACAGAACTCTCCACCCCACAAAAAACAGAACATACATTTTTCTTGGTGCCACATGGAACTTAGTCTAAAATTGATCATATAACTGGAAGTAAAATACCCCTCAGCAAATGCAAAAGAACGGAAACTATAACAGTCTCTCAGACCATAACATAATCAAATTAGAGCTCAAGATTAAGAAATTCACTCAAAACTACGCAACTACATGGAAATTGAACAACCTACTCCTGGATGACTTCTGGGCAAATAATGAAATTAAGGCAAAAATCAAAAAGTTCTTTGAAACTAATGAGAACAAAGAGACAACTCACCAGAATCTCTGGGATGCAGCTAAAGCAGTGTTAGGAGGGAAAGTTATAGCACTAAATTACCACATCAAAAACTGAGAAAGATTTCAAATCAACATACTAACATCACAACTAGAAGAACTAAAGAACCAAGAGCAAACAAACCTCAGAGCTAGCAGAAGACAAGAAATAACCAAGCTCAGAATGGAACTAAAGGAGATAGAGACACGGAAAACCCTTCAAAATATCAACAAATCCAGGAGCTGGGTTTTTTTAATCAATAAAATAGATAGACTGCTAACTAGACTAATAAGGAAGAAAAGAGAAAAGATTTAAGTAAACACAATTGGAAATGATAAGGGGGATACTACCACTGACCCCACAGAAATACAATCATCAGAGAATACTATCAACACCTATATGCAAATAAACTATAAAATCTAGAAGAAATGGATAAATTCCTGAACACATACACCCTCCCAAGACTGAACCAGGAAGAAGTTGAATCCCTGAATAGACCAATAACAAGTTCTGAAATTGAGGCAGTAATAAATACCCTGCTGGCCGGGCACAATGCCTCACACCTGTAATCCCAGCACTTTGGGAGGCTGAGGCAGGCAGATCACAAGGTCAGGAGTTCGAGACCAGCCTGGCCAACATGGTGAAACCCCATCTCTACCAAAAATACAAAAATTAGCTGGGCGTGGTAGCGGGTGCCTGTAATCCCAGCTACTTGGGAGGCCGAGGCAGGAGAATCGTTTGA